CGGGCCACACATGGCCGGCTACCCAAGCGGGTCGCACGGAGACACAGGAAGGCTGCCGCAAGCCGCCTCCGGGTGCAGGGGCCCGGCGCGGTGGGCGGGGGCAACGACCCGGTAGCTGGCCGCGCCTCTCCCCCCCCCCCGTCGCCGCTGCACCCCTTGCCGCGGCCCTCGTCGCTGCTGTAGCGACAACAGCCGCGGCACGAGGTCAGAACGCGGCCTCGGAGAGCTCGAGCGAAGGCGCCGACGGTGGCAGCCGTGGTAGTGGTTTATGGTAGAAGGCTCCTGAGCCGTCGGGCACCACGCTCGACGTCGCCGAGCAGCCGCACCTGTCGCGAGCGCCTGCGCGTCGGGCGCTGCCGGCTCGACCTCCATTTTCGGCGAGGTGTCGGGCGCGGCGGGCGGCTCCGGCGCCTCGGTGGCGACCGTGGGCTCGGTGGTCGCCTTGGGCTGCCTGTGGATGTTGTCGTTGGCTGATTTCTTATGCTTCTTGCCCGTTCGGCCGAGGCCTCGGTTGCGAGGCATCTCGGTACACGCGACGGCAGCACGACGTACACGACGAGGACGGCTCCTTGATGGCGACCTGCAGCAGGACGGTGCGCATGTTTGGAGCGTGGTAGCGGACGCATCGGGCCTAGCCCGGGGCCGTGGCGTGTACCGAGAGGCTGGTCTACCGAACACTTTTGGTGCATACAGGTCCGTGCTTTGGTTTCACAACGCGTTTGGTCCTCGCTATGGTACGGCTCACCAGATGCGACAGGAGGGCTAAAATCCGGAATATAGACTGCCAAGAGGGTGCTCTAGGCCGCGAAGACACCACACACGGTCTCCCTACTCATGCGCGGCTAGCAGGAGGGTGCCAAAAATGAGGCGCGTTGTGAAACCGCAGCTGGCCCCGCCGACGGGTAGCACAGGTCATGAGTGAGGCCACGCCAGCTGCCTCGGGTGCTCTGTGTGGTCGGCCTGGACCGTGCCGCAAGCCTCGAGCAGCGGAGAAGCGCTGTCCTTGAAGTCCAGACATGCTTCGCCGCCGTGGCGCAGCGCCGCAGTGCGAGCGAGCACTGCAGCTGCAGTGCTCGCTCGCACTGCGGCACCCATCGACTCCCTGCGCTCCGGGCACATTGGCAAATGTGCCGGCGGCCTTGTGGACGGCTCGGGCACGAATTGCACGACGGCGCGGCGTCTCGAGGCGGCCGTGTTGTGAAAACGAAGCTGTTGCGAAACCGAAGCCCGGACCTGTAGATGTAGACTGGGTGTACGCCGATGCCGCCAATGCCGCCAATGCCGCCGATGCCGCCGGTGTCGCCGCTGCCAATGCCGCCGCCGCCGAACCAACTGCTCGCAAGCAAAAGCGGGAGGGGCAAGAGGAGGTACTCGTGGACCTACAGCTCTTGAGCCAACTCGTCGAGGAGGGCGAGCAGAGCTCCGCCGTTTTTGCGGGCGTCGGCCCGCCTCTGCCGCATTCCGCAGCTGCGGAGGCGGATCCGGCGGCGGCGGCGGCGGATCCGGCGGCGTTGATTGGGCCAACGGGTTCGGAGGTGGGCTCGGCGTTCGCGGATAGCATGGGGCCAGTTCTCGCGCCGAGAGTGGCTGCACTGGACAGTCGCGCTCCTCTGCAAGTAGGCGCCGCGCTATGTCTCTCGGTTCGTCTGCCGCTTCGTCGGGTGCGGCAAGGACTACGCGTCGACCGATAGCGTGCGTTCCCATTGCAGGTACAGCGGTGTGGCGCCCGCATTTCACCCCCCCCCCCC